ATTGTGCTAATGTTTAGTAGTAAATTAGTAATTACTAATGTTTAAAACATAATATCATAACTCATAATCAATTAAGTAATCATTTAATTATGTAATGTTATATTAATATATTGATCATCTATAATAGTATAATGTAATTTATAATGAATTAAGTAATCATACTATAACCTTAATTTATATTATAATTAATTAAATTTCAAATCATTTGATTAATATACTAATGTTTATAATGGAATGTTATAATTGATTAATAATCATATTATAAATATATAAGTAATGTTATAATTAATTAAATTTTAATCGTTTAATTAAGTAATGTAATAATTAGTAAATTAGTAAATTACATGTTTAAATGTAATGTTATAAATTTATAATTTATGTAATTATGTAATCATTTAACTATATAATCTATAATTAAGTAAGTGACCATAAATAATATAATATATATTTATAATTTAATTGAGTAATTATTTACTATAATGTAATGCTAATTAATGTTTATAATAAATGTTTATAAGGTAATATTATGATTAATTAAATTTCTTATCATTTAATTAAGTATTATGTTAATGTTTATGTAGTAAATTAGTAATTACTAATTTTATAATATAATGACATAATCAATTAAGTATTATTTAATTATGTAATGTTATAATTAAATATTATACATACTATAATGTAAGTTATAGTGAATTAACTATTAAGTAATCATACTATAAATTTTAATAATAATTTATAATATTAAATTTTTAGTCATTTAATTAAATTTGTACCAATGTTTATAATAAATGTTATAATTGTTAATAATTATCATAAATCTATAAACGTAATGCTATAATTAATTAAATTTCTAATTATAAGTCAATTAATTAATTAATTAATTATGTTATAACTTATAAGTCAATTATTAGTAGTAATCATTAACGTAATGTTATAATTAATTATATATAATCAATTAAGTAATGTTATAAATTATAATTAATTAGTAATCATTTAGCTATAATGTAGTGTTATAATTGATTAAGTATGATATTTAACTAGTAATTAATTTATTATGTTTATCAATTTATCATATATAATTAATTAATTACTAATTTATTATAGATATACTTAACTTGATAATTGAAATAAATAACTAAATATATTTTACTCAATCAAATTATATTTTATTAAAAAATATTCTTTAAATAACATTAAAAATGTAAAACACTTTATGGATCATAATTCCAATTATTCACTTAATTGATCAAAACTTTAATATTAATGTATTATATATTTAAAGCTTTTAATATGTGTAATTTATATGTATAGTATAATTGTATTCGTATATTTATTTAATTAGGTTATTCTAAAATTTAGCTTTTTCTATTTTAATTTTTTTATATGTAAAATAATAGAAACTCCCCATTATTTACATTTCACAAATATTTCATTATATTCCAGGTTCCAAAATAGGTTCTAAACAGGTTCTAAAAACAGGTTCCAAAACAGGTTCCAACAGGTTCCAAAGCAGGTTCCAATAGGTTCCAAACAGGTTCCAAACAGGTTCCAAAACAGGTTCCAAACAGGTTTCAAAACAGGTTCCAAACCGGTACCCCCTACAGGTTCCAAACAGGGTACCCTTTTTACAGGTTCCGGTTCCGGTTCGGTTCTCCACATGCAAGAACCGGAACCGGAACCGGAACCGCACAGTAGCAGTTCCAAAAAATGGAACCGGAACCTACCCCACGTGCAGGTTCTGGGTAGGTTCCGGTTCCGGTTCCGTTCTTACCCTCGGTTCCGTTCTCCCGCTACCCGTGCTCACCGACTTTCACAATACATCTATTTATAGTCTCAGATTATGAAATATTATAAATAAAATTAAGCTAATAAATGCTTTGAAGTTGTAGAACTTGAAAGTTTCAAGAGCTAGAGAAGATGAAAGATTAGGAAGTTATAGAATTGTAAGGGTATCCACATTTATTCATAACACTCCCCTTGAATGTCCATTACACAAAGAAATGACTGGTTAAAACCTTACTAGGAAAAAACCCAATAAACCTAGTGAAGGAAAAATAGTACTTATTCTTGTATATTATACGCATTTAGAAACCGTCTCATTAAAAATCTTACCAGGAAACCCAATGGGATAAAACCTTGGTCAATGAAAAAGAGTATAGTGCGTATTTATACTCCTCATGATGATATCACTTAAGATTTTTGTATCGACGCATTCCAATATTGTAGACCACTTTTCAAATGTTGTAGTCGGTAAAGCTTTAGTGAATAAGTTTCAAATTATCACATGACTAATCTGTTTAACTTCAATATCGCCATTCTTTTGAAGATCATGAGTGAAGAAGAATTAGGTGATATATGTTTTGTCCTATCACTTTTGATATAACTTCCCTTTAACTGAGTTATGCATGCAGTGTTATCTTCATATATGTTATATGAACTTCTTTGTTGTAATCAATGCCACATGATTCTTGAATATGTTGGGTTATTGATTTGAGCCAAACACATTCTCATTGCTTCATAGATAGCTATATCTCGGCATGATTGAAGAAGTAGCAGCTATAGTTTGTTTTGTAGAATGCCATGAAATAGTCGTACCTCCATACATGAACAAATAACCTGTTTGAGATCTAGCTTTATGTGGGTTAGATAAATATCATGCATCTGCATAACCAATTAATTGAGGTGTAGATTCATTTGAATAAATAAACCGATAGACCTCGATTGCAAGGTTTACCAACTAAGGGGGCATAAAGGTAAAAATGGTTTGGAAGGGTGCTGGAAGTGTGATGTAGTGAGGTTTGTCACAGGTTGTTACACTTGTTATAGCGGTCCGCGTGTTGGGGAATATTGTTGGTTTGAGGGGAATAATTTCGGGAGTTAACAGTATATTAGGAGAGTGAGCTTTTTCTAAGCAGAAATTATTGTTAAGAGTTTATGGGAGCTCCCTCAATTGCTGGGATCTATCAGTTCTTGTAATTGCCTTTCATGACTGTTTCCTTTAATTTCAATACAATATTGGATTGTTGATGAATTGGTTATTGTTAATTGTGTTGGGAAACTATTTGCTGTTGAGATTGGTTGATTTAGCAAGGGTTCTATCAATTTGGTATTAGAGTGTAGTTGGCTGATGGTAAATACCAGAATGGAAATTAGAGTTGACAGTTTAGAGAAAGAAATGGGATCAATGAGACAAGATTTAGGAAGTGTGAAAGAATACTTACTGGAGATGCATGCTTTGCAATTAAGAGGAATGTGACGAGTGCGTGAGCTGATGCAATTAAGAGAGGAACGTGACGAGGCACGAAATCACGAAACACGCAAGACTCATCGTCGAAGAATCAGAATGATGGTAAAACAGTGGCAACGACCCAAACAAAATATACTGAATTAGGGAAAGATGATATGAAGATTAAGAGTTAGAACTATTGATATTTAATGGAGATGACCTTTTATGGGTGACTTTTAAGGCAAACCCATATTTTAACATCAATTGGTATGCTGAGGAGGAGATGGTAGAGGTTTGCCGCTGTATGCATGGAAGGAGAGCACTGAATGGTATCAGTGGGTGGACTCACAGACATGTTCCACTCATGAGGAGCCTTTAAAATAGCGCTGATCTCCAGATTTTGTCCGTCATTCCAAGGGATTGGTATAGGCTGTAGTGGTTTGATGCAAACACGACAATGACAGAGTTCAGGGAAGAGTTTGAAGCTGTGTACTGCTCCTTTGAAGAGTTGGGGTGAATTACTCATAGGAATATTCATGAATGGGCTTAAAGATAAATACGGGCTAAACTGAGACTGAATAAGCCCAATGTGTTGGTGGATCTAATTGAGCAAACCCATTGCATAGAAGAAAAAACTGGGTTTTAGACAAAACCCAACCCAGATTTGAAAGAATCCATACCACTCACTTGAAACATACAAAAGGTGTCTTCCAGTCCAACTGAGTCGCCCAAATTGGTGAAGTAGTCGGCGAAGGGCAATGAGCTAGGTTCCTTCTCGGAGCTCAAAACAGAAGTTGGGAAGTGCCTCAAGAAGAGCAATGAGCTGGGTCCTTTTCGGGAGCTCAAAATAGAGGTTGGGATAGAGGAGGAAAGACGCTTAGTTTACAATCATGCCAAACAGAAATGAAGGCTCCAACGATTAATAGAGGTTCAAATTCAGTCTAAAACGGAAAGAGAAGTCTATTTCTGTTGTGACAAAAAGTTTGGGCCTAATCACCGCTGTAAAAGTGAGTCACTCCAGATCCTACTGGTCCTGGATGATGATGAGATAACCAAAAGGAAGATCGAGACAGGTGATGCAACCCTTAAAGAAGGTAACTCTATTGCATTATCAATGAACTCTATTGTGGGGATAACCACTGATAAGACACTAAATCAGGGAGTTGATTGGGAGGAAGAGGTTGTTGTTTTGATGGATAGTGGAGCTCCCATAACTTCATTGCCCATGAATTAGTGCAGAAATTAGGATTGGAAGTTGGGAGGAGTAACCGTTTACAATGATGGTTGGAAATGGAGTCATTAGAGGGGAAGGGATTTGCAAAGGGTTGTTTACGGTTCAGGATTGAGTGGAGACAGGACTTTTTTCCCTTCAAGTTAGGTGGAGCAGATGTTGTTTTAGGAATCTCGTGTTGAGCACCTTAGGGATAGTGTTCTAATTGGAAGACCTGACCATGGCTTTTGGTAAAAAAAAAACAAATCCAGTAAGCTAATTTGGAACATCATACGGTGGATAAAGGATAAAAAAAAAATCATACCTAGAAATTACTAAAAGGAGAAGACTATTTGTTTACTATTTTCTGAAATCAATTGTTTCAAAAAAAAAAAAAAAAATTGTATTACCACAAGCAACAAAGAGAGAGGGAGAGAGCCATATCTAATATATGCTCTGATTTTAGATAATGCCTCATTCAGAAATTCAGAGAACATCAGTGTGTGCGCTTGTTTGAGGGGGCAGAAGAAAAAGGATTTGACAGGAGAAGCTTCCAAAACCTACCAAAATGCATTCTCCTCTGGCATCAGAAGTAGCAATATGCCAGCAAAGAAATTCATTGCCTGCATGTGTTTCAGAACCATGGTAAATAAAATTATCAAAAATATTATCACATCAGCCAGAAGATTATCACAATAATTGAGTGAAAAAAGAGTGACGGTGGAAATTTAAAGATAGCAGAAGAAAAATGATACACGCTTTGAGAGGTAGTGAATACATTTGGGGAGAGACAAAATCAAGGTTACAGTTTGACAGATTAACAGAATACAAAACTTATACCAAGAACCCAAAATGTAGCAAGATGAAAATATCTCAGAGAAAAGTTGATAATCACTGGACCTTAAGGAAAAAAAGGTTTGATAATCTGCTTAATAGCTACTCCTAGCAAAGTTTAATTTGAAGCAAAATGAGTTCTAATAGGTCCAAAAGTTTGAAAACACCCTTAATGCTCTTTCACAAAACAACTATGTGCCACCAAAACAGCAGTAAGTATTTCTACTTTAGATGCTTTACATTCTTCATGACATTTTAGCTTTGTTCCAAATACCAATGAAGAAGTTACAAGATACAGTTCTAAATACACATTAAGGAGTAGCAATGAAAAGAAGCATCGGCAGAATCACATATACAGCAAAAATTAAAAATAAAAGGACTCCAGTTACCTGGCAGTACCCAACAGAAGGATTATGTCGAGCATATGCTAAAAGTAAACGTCTCAAGGAATCCCTACCGTTCTCATTCAAAGCAGGATGGCCTGGAAAAGTCCGTGGTATGTCCTGTAAAGTCAATGTAAAAAAATAAGTCCACCGAGAAATCTGGTTTACAATACAAAGCAAAAGAAGTAGCACGTACAAATTGAAAAGATTGAACGATAAAGTCCAAGGCGCATGCATCTATTGACCTTCTCAATCTGCCTTTTCCATTTCTTGGGTACACCTGATGTATTATCATGCTCTTTGCTTTCACCGGCATTGGTTACTTGAGCCAGCAAATCCTCGTAATATCTCTCCACCCGTCGCGCCTTAACACCAACAAATGCCTGCCATACCTGCATTGGCAAAACTACAGTAAGTGATGTTTTCCCTAACATAAAAATATTAATTTCAAGAAACTGAACACTTTCAACCTCACCTCTCCCCTGAGATCCTTCGGCACTCCCCCACGAACAAGGCACTCCAGTTCCTCTTTCCAAGGAAAGTATGGCTCTGGTGAGACATCATTTTGTGGAGCACTTTTTTCATAGCAGGCACTTAAAGTCTCATTCGGCGTCTCAGTAACACATAATTTTTCCTTAATGCCCTCTTCAGATTCCTCTTCCAAAGATCCTGCTTCATCTATTGATGGAAGATGGTCTTCACTTTTGGTTATCTGCTCACCTCTCATGTCCTTTCTCCTCTTCACACGAAAACTCATCATACTCTCAATGGAATATAGGGATGGTCTAATCCGAGCCCATGTTTGGACCTCACGGGGCTTTGTTTCTTTTGAAAGTTGCTCCTTTTTGGGGTCAAGTTTAGTTGAACCATCAGAATCAGAGTTCCCACTTGAATCATCCCCTTCCTTACCTCTCTTTGAAACAGTCTCTTCTTTCAACTGAGTAGCTTCAACCTTGTCTACTTCCACACCCCTCTCTGAAACAGTCTCTACTTTCAAGTCAATAGCTCCAGCCTTATTATCTACTTCCACACTCCTCTCTGACACAGTCTCTTCTTTCAACTCGACAGCCCGAGCATTGTCTACTTCTATGCCCCTCTCTGAAACAGTCTCAGTATTTTCACACTGGTTCTCTCTCCTACTTCTCTCTGGAAAAATCTCCTCTTTCAACTTCCTGTCTTCACCCTTGTCCGCTTCACTTCCACTCCTTGATATAGTGTCCTCTATCAACTTAGTAGCTTCAGCCTTGTTCCCTTGGTTGTCTATCTCTGGCACAGTTGTCTCGTTCAGCTCAGTAGTTTCAGCTTTGCTCCCTTCACTCTTCAGTGAAACTGTCTCCTCATTCAACTTAGCGGCTTCAGCATGCAGCGACTCCTTATATTTCTCCTCAGGAGAGTTTTGTTGAGAAGCTTTTTGGTGCTCAATGAAATTCTTCCATTTTTGCGATCTTTCCTCTTCCTCTTCCTGATACCATACATGTATCAATAAGCTGGACAGAAAACACCTGTTGTACTTCTGTTGCTCTGTTATTTTAGTTTTGATGAAATATACTTCACAAAAAATCCCAACAGTACTGTCTATTTAAAGCTCCAATTATTCTGAAGGATATCTGATGCTGAAACACAACAATGATACATCTCATCTCATCTCTTAACTCTTCAAGTTTCTAATATTCCTCACTTAACCATATATTATTTTATTAGCTGTAGACCTAAGTTAAACACATAGAAAGTAATTCTAAAAGGGCACTCATTTTTACGCTCTAGCTTAACACATGCACCCCGTCTGTTAGGAATAAATTTCTAATCAAGGTCACTAACACCAATGTTACCTTAATTATAATTAAAAACAAAAGCTTCAATGGAAAATACCTGATAGATATTGGCGTACTCTATATATCTTTGAACATGCTGAGGTCTCAGAGCGAATCCATAGGCGTCCCTGTCAACATTAATTCTCTATATCAATCCCAATCACACAAAGAACACCATTCCCATTTCTAAAATCATTAACTTCAAACAACATATACCATCAAGCAATTCTTCAAATAAAAAATAAAATAAAAAAGAAATAACAAAATCACTACAAAATGGACAATGTGAAAACATTAATCCGCACGGAAACTTAAGTAACCTGGAATCAACCTCCAATGAGCGCCTACTCAACAAGGACAACAACATGCTTCGCAAACAGCTTCAATTCTACAGCAGCCCATAGCTCTCTTTTAATTTTCCTCTAAATCCCTTACTACATAGTAAGATCTAACACTCACTTATTGCACTAAACCTACTTTCCGTTATAAAATTTGTCTCTTTAAACAAAATTAAGAAATAACTCTAATTTCTTTGCCCCAAAAATAAATAATAGCATATTATGAAAATAAAAACTAATAAATTAATCATCAAGACATTGTTAGCTAACATAAAGATTAACATGACACGTTAACACCATACAAACTTATCCAAAACAAAACAAGAAAAACAAACAAATGTTGGATTTAGAATTTGTCAAAGTTTATTCATTCAAAGATACAGCGAAAAATTAGGGTTAAAGTAAACGTGGAAAAATCGAGGAGATTAAAATTTGTAGATAGAACAGAACAGAAAAGAAGAAATGTAGATGTGTCACCTCCCGTATTCTTGTTCGAATTTGTGGATGAGATTGAAGGGCTTCTCCGACATTCTAGGGAGATGGAATCAAAGGTTGTTCCTGGATCTGTGGTAACTGAACGGAGTTTCAGTCTTGGCTTCGTCGTGTCGCTGGACTCTGCTCTCGGTTTCAAAGCTTTGTAGTAGTCGTTAGAAGGCGGTCATGCGTTGCTTCTAATTAGCGGGCTTTCGTGGGGATTGTTAAATATACGGGGTTTGATCGTGAAGATGGTGACGGGTAAGTGACACTAAGTGTACAATAGTTATTGGCGCCACGTGTAGGAGTATTGTCTATCCGTTACAATAGAATCGGTTTTGGAACTGGGAAGGTGACAGATGGTTTGACCGTTTGTATTTGACAATTTGACTACATGGGCTGCGTTGGAATGTATGCAGGCCTATGATAACGACATTGTCAGTTAATTTAGTCAGTCCACGTAACCATGTGTGTAATATTTTTTATTCATTTTAGTTATAGATACTATATATACGTCATTCTCATATAACATTTTTCATATAACATTATGTGGCAAGATATGATTGGGTAAAAGTTTAATTTTAATTTTAAATTAGCGAATCATATCTTACTACATAATGTTGTATGAAAAATGTTGTATAAAAATGATGTATGTGTAGTATTACTCATAACATTAACACTGGCGCAAAGACTTTAATTTTTAATAATGAATTAAAGATAGACGGAGAAACACTGATCTCAACTAACGTGATAACTCATATAGTTTGGTTAAATGGGTCTCATACAAACTAACCAATTGCAAGTTGACATATCAAGTTTGTGAGAGAAATTAGTGAAAAATATTGTCAGTGTAATTACTCTTAATTTTTTGATAGCAAGAGGGAATAACCAAATATTGTGTGGTTACATTTAAATAAATAATAAAAAATGTTAAATTATTAATATTTATCTATTTTCTTTAGAATTCTGTTAAAAAAAAAAAAAAGAAAACCCAAACTATACAATTATTATATAAAAAACTAAAAGAAGAGAGAAAATAATTGAAGACAAATAGAACCAATGCTTTTCTATTCCAAAGTTGAGTGTACATCTCTTCACAATACATCTATTTTTAGTCTCAAGATTATGAATATTAAATAAAATAAAAGCTAATAAATGCTTTGAAGTTGTAGAACTTGAAAGTTTCAAGAGTTAGAGAAGATGAAATTAGGAAGTTATAGAATTGTAAAGGCATCCACATTTATTCAAAACACTCCCCCTTGAATGTCCATTACACAAAGAATATGACTGGTTAAAAACTTACTAGGAAAAAACCCAAAAACCTAGTGAAGAAAAATAGTACTTATTCTTGTGTATTATATGCATTTAGAAACTGTCTCATTAAATCTTACCAAAAACCCAATGGATAAAACCTTGGTCAATGGAAAAAGAGTATAGTGCGTATTTCATCCTCCTCATTGATATCACTTAAGATTTTTGTATCGCGCATTCCAATATTGTATACCAACTTTTCAAATGTTGTAGTCTGTAAAGCTTATGAATAAGTTGGTCATTATCACATGATTGAATCGTTTAACTTCAATATCGCCATTCTTTTGAAGATCATGAGTGAAGAAGAATTTAGGTGATATATGTTTCGTCCTATCACCTTTGATATATTCCCTTTAACTAAGTAAGCATGCAGTGTTATCTTCATATATGTTATATGAACTTCTGTGTTGTAATCAATGCCACATGATTCTGAATATGTTGGTTATTGATTTGAGCCAAACACATTCTCGGCTTGCTTCATAGATAGCTATATCTTGGCATGATTTGAAGAAGTAGCAGCTTAGTTTGTTTTGAGAATGCCATGAATAGTCGTACCCCTACATGACAAACAAATACCTGTTTTGAGATCCGCTTTGTGGTTAGATAAATGATGCTCGCATAACCAATTAATTGAGGCATAGATTCATTTGAATAAATAAACCGATAGACCTCTGATTGGCAAGTTTTACCAACTAGGGGGCACAAAGGTAAAAATGGTATTGGAGAGGTGCTAGAATGTGATGTAGTTAGGTTTGTCACGGTTGTTACACTTGTTATAGCGGTCCATGTGTTGGGGAATATTGTTGTTTTGAGGGATATTTTGGGAGTTAACAGTATATTAGGAGATGGGCTATTTTCTTAAGCAAAGATTATTGTTAAGTCTTATGGGAGGCCCCCATCCTCGAATTGCTGGGATCTATCAGTTCTGTAATTGCCTTTCCATGACTGTTTCCTTTAATTTCATAACAATTGGATTGTTGATGAATTGGTTATTGTTATTGTGTTGGGAGAACTATTTGCTGTTGAGATTGGTTGATTATGCAAGGGGTTCTATCAATTTGGTATTAGAGTGCCGTTGGCTGTGGTAAATACCAGAATGGAAAGTAGAGTTGACAGTTTAGAGAAAGAAATGGGATCAATGAGACAGATTTAGGAATGTGTGAAGAATACTTACTGAGATGTGAGCTATGCAATAAGAGAGGGGTGACATGCATGAGATGCAATTAAGAAAGGAACGTGACGAGCCGAAATCACGAAACACGCAAGACATCATCGTTGGAGAATCAGAATGATGGTGAAAACAGTGGCAACGACCCAAACAAACAGTACTGAATTGGGGAAAGGATAGGAAGATTAGAAGTTAGAACTGTCGATATTTAAGGAGATGACCCTTATGGTGTGGACTTTTAAGGCAACCCATATTTTAACATCAATCGGTATGCTGAGGAGAGATGGTAGAGGTTGTTGTTTATGCATGGAAGTAGAGCACTGAATTGGTATCAGTGGGTGCTCACAGACACTGTTCCACTCATGAGGGCCTTTAAAGTAGCGATGATCTCCAAATTTCGTCCGTCATTCCAAGGGATTGTGATAAGGCTGTAATGGGTTGATGCAACAGCGACGTGATAGAATTCAGGGAAGGTTCGAAGCTTGTGCTGCTCCTTTAAAAGAGCTGGGGATGAATACTCATAGAATATTCATGAATGGGCTTAAGATGAGATACGGGCTAAACTGAGACTGAATAACCCAATGTGTTGGTGGATCTAATGCGAACCCACTGCATAAAGAAAAAACCGGTTTTAGACAAAACCTGACCCAGATTTGAAAGAATCCAGACCACACTTGAAACATACAACAGGGTGTCTTCCAGTCCAGACTTGAGTCGCCCAATTGGTGAAGTACTCGGCGAAGAGCATGAGCTAGGTTCCTTCTGTGGAGCTCAAAATGAAGTTGGGAAGTGCCTCACCGAAGAGCAATGAGCTGGGTCCTTTCTCGGGAGCTCAAATAGAGGTTGGGATAGGGGAGAAGAGACTTAGTTTTTACAAGCACGCCGTACGAAACGAAGCTTCCAACGATTAATAGAGGAATTCAATCTAAACGGAAAGAGGAGTCTATTTCCGTGTGACGAAAGTTTGGGCCTAATCATCGCTGCAAGAGTGAGTCACTCCGAATCCTACTGCTCCTAGATGATGATACCAAAAACGAAGAAGATGGCATGACAGGTGACGCAACCCTTAAGAAGGTAACTCTATTGCATCATTAATGAACCCATTGTGGGATACCACTGATAACACTGAGCCGGATTGATTGGAAGGAAGTTGTTGATGATACGACTTCCCATACTATTGCATGATTAGTGCAGAATGGATTGGAAGGAGGAGTACCGTTGATAAAGTGGATGGGCTAACGGCAGTTTCGCCTAGTGCTGTAAGAGAGAGGAAGAGGGAGGGAGGGACAGGATTGTGGTCCTTCAAATAGGTGGACATATTTGTGTTGGAATATGCTACGTTGGGGAGTTGAGGGAGCAGCTGGAAAGACTGTGGTGGAAGTGTTTGGGTGTGGGATCTGGTGTTGAGTAGAAAGGCATAATGCCATGCTTGAATGTGAGAATAGGGATGAAAAGTAGTGTGTGTGTACAAAGACGTTTGATGCCGGTTCTGAGTGGTTGAAAGAGGCAGGTTGTTAATGGAAGGCGGTTTCAGAAGACACTAGGAGTAAATAGGTGGGTCATTACGGAAGTTCCATAGGGCCGTATGGTATGAGGGTGGTAGTAAGCTGATTACATATAAGACAAGGGTGAGGGATAATGATGAAAGGGACAGAACATGACTCCTAGTGAGAAATTGCGTGTAGGATGTTTAGCCATTGTTTTGACAGAATACCAAACCGCCCCATATAATCACATCCATCACCTTGCTGGACACCACCAAACCCCCTAATATCGTCTCTACAATATCCATACTTCCAAAAAAAATGAAATAGAGAGGCTGGTGCGAGAAATGTAGATTGGGATGATCCAACCTAGTAACGAGTTTGTTTGCCAGCCCGAGTGTATTGTGAAGAAAAGCATGGATAGTTGGCATTTCTGTTGGATTTAAGGCTCAAATAACCTGACAACATACGCACAAGTTTCCTATTCCCTCCATTGAAGAACTCTTAGATGATAGCAGGGCCGAAGTATTACAAAAGTTGATCTAAAATCAAGCTACCATACATCAGGGTAACAGAGATAATGTCAGACCCATGAGGACATTACAATATCCTGGTGATGCTGCGGGTTACAACAACACCCTTCCACTTTCCAACACTCATGAAACACCATCTTTAGGTCGATTTTGAAGAAGTTTATCTAGTGTTTTTGACAATATTTGGTATACAACCTAATTTAGATACCTACGTCGAGCATCTTAACAAACCTGAATTTTGGATGAGAATGAGCCAGTGGTTATTGAAACAATGTTTGTTTGGGCAACAAAGGTTGAGTATTTGGGTCATGTGATTTCAGCTAGAGGTGTAGAGACAGACCCAGAAGCTTGAAGCCATGCGTCTTGGCCTGTCTCGCGAACCATCAAAGTTTGCGAGATTTTTGGGGTTGACAAGGTATATGTATTGTGTGTAAAGGATTGGGATGATTGCCGATCCACCACACCAAACTCCTCCAAAAGACTTTTTGAGTGGAATAATCAAGCACAACAAGCATTTGAGGCTCTTAAAAGGCAATGACAACTGTACCATTTAGCAGTACTTGATTTCAGCTTGCCCTTGAATTTCACACAGATCCTCGGTCATGAATGGGTGCTGTTTTGGTCTAGAAATCCCGCCCATTGCTTTTCTCAGTAAGGCTTTTTCGATTCAATCCAAGCAAGA